GGCCTGCCCCAGCTCGTTGCGTGTGGCGAGCGTGGGTTCGGAGCAAGCCAGCTGTGCCGGCCGGCGCCGCCGTACCGCGCACCTGGTTTGAGTCTGAGGACGGTGTGCTTCGAAGGCTTCAATGCGGAAGTCCTTTCGCGCAATGATTGCAACGCCTTTCTCTCAATCCCCTCGCCCTGTTTGCTGACAGCCCCACCAGCACTTGCCCCCAAAGCCTCCAGGAACCTGCCGACTCGACTGATCCACTCCCTGCCCAAGACAGCCCCGACCGCATCTGCGCACTCAATGCCCCCTCCGTGTCTGCATATACAACCCCGACAGGAGCTGTGCATCAGCGACGCCCCAGAGCTTGGGTGCATCTATGGGCTGGACTCCCTCTCGGCGCTGACCTCCCTCAGCCTGCACGCCTGCCCTCATGCCGTCCGCCGCCCCACCGACATGGCGCCCACGGAGCAGGCCTCCGCGCTGGCCGTGGTGCTCCCCACGCTGACTCAGCTGCGGGCCCTCAAACTGACTGGCGCCACGACGCTGGAGAGGCTGCCGGCGGGGGTGTCTGCGCTCACCGCTCTGACGAGCTTGGTGGTGGACGTGCGCATGCGCGACAGGGGCCCAGAGGGTCCCGAGCCCGAGGACTTTGCGCCACTGGGCCGCGGCGGCGGTGGCGACGCGGGGCTCCTGCGGTGCTTTGGCCTGCGTCGGCTGGTGGTGCGGGGGTTCAATGGGCCGCTGCACCTGCCTGAGGGGATGGAGCGGTTTTCATTGCTGGAGGTGCGCAGGCTGGACGGGGCGCATGCAACGGAGCTGCCAGGGGGGTATCCCATCTTCCCATGCGTGCTTGGTAGGCCAGGACGGCATGCCGCAGCTGTGACGACGACGCCTTTTTGTGAATCATTTTGTCTGCAGCTGCTCTTTCTGCCGTGTGCGCCCTCCACCGTACGCCGCCGCCCATGCCCCTGCCAAGTCGCACTTCTTACTTGCCTATCCATCCCCTAAGCTCCGACAACTCAGGCTCCAAAAACCCTCAATCCACCAAACACCCCACAGGAGTTGGACCTTGGTGGCTGCCAGGAATTGTGGAACCTCGGCCCCTGGCTGCTGCGCCTGCCCGCCCTCAAGCGCCTCGTCGTGCCGCGCCGCTCTGTGCAGCAGGGCGTGTTTGAGGCGCTCGCCCTGCGGAACGACCCCCACCAAGTGGAGGTTGTGGAGGAAGGGGGCGGAGGCGACGGCAAGGGGCAGGAGGGTGATGAGGATTTTGACTGGGGCAACGAGGATGCGGAGGGGTGGGCAGAAGAGGGGCTGTAGGCGGCGGGGTTTGTCAGCGCAGCGTCCCTTGAGGCTGCCCCGGCTTGGCATGTCTGTGATTTACATACCCATCAGCTGCCGCTCCAAGGGTCGTCGCTTTTGTTTCTTGTGATCAACTGCATGGTTCATGTGGGTGCACATACCGTTCAAACCTGTCATGGTCACAGCCCCTGTAGACCTGCGCAGCCCGTGGACTGAGGCTGCTGCTTGCATTGGAGCAGCGCATGACATCCGGAACGGGGTGACAAGTAGTATGTGGCCGTCACTTACGTCACATCAGTTATTCCTCCGTCCTACGCACTTTATTGCCTGCGAGATCTTTGCCGGGTTGTCGACTTTGTCGCTCAGCTCAAGCAAAGCGTTCCGAGCAGCGCACACAGCGTGTAAGGTACAAGGCGTCGCAAGCGTGCCAGTGCCGTGCAGAACAGAGCCTGTCACTGCGCAGGGCGGCGCTTGCACTGCACTTGCAGTTGCGTCGGGTAACTGCATCGGCTTGGTTGCCATGGCGGAGCACGCCGGGGCCAGCGCCGAGTCTCGGTGAGTGGACACTGGATGCAAGTTGCTGTTCACTAGGCACTGCCAGCACGCCGTGAGCGGCCCGCTGATCTTGGCGCTAAGCAGGTGGCGCACAGCGCATCCCACTGCAGCCAGCGGCGTGCGCCGCCTTTCCGACGCGCCCGCCCCACGCCGCAGGTGCTGGACCGATCTCCCTGTGCCCTGCTGGCGCCTGATCATGACTCACCTCCACTCCAAGCGCTCCCTGTTCAGCTGCAGCGCAGCCTGCAAGAGCATTGCGCGCGTCGCGGATGACCTCGCCACAGATCTCAGGGGGGTCCCCGCCGGCGATCTGACGCGCGCGCTCGCGCGGTTTGACCGCGCGACCAGTGTGGCCGTCGACCTGGCTGCAGCGCCGTGGCCGACGCATCAGAAGAGGGAGGGAGGCGCGTCGGGTCAAGAAGGCGGGCCCGAGGAGCCTGGGGGTTTCCAGGGGTGGTGCGCCGCGGCCGCCGTTTTGGCTAGCGAGCTCCGCGCCGTGCCGCCCCTGGCTGCGGCCCGCATTGAGCGGCTGTCAGTGTCCAACTGCCCCAGCTACGTCGCCGACACCCTCGCCTACAGCTTCGAGCCGGGTGCGCCCGCATGGCGGCGGCTGGCGCGCCTGGAGCTCTCGTATGACGTCACCGCCTCTGGCCCGGCCCCCACACGCCGTTATGAGTATGATTGGGCCGCCGTCATCCGCGCCGCGGGCGCGCTGCCGGCCCTGCGCAGCATGCGGCTCGCGGGCGCCATCTGTCCCTTATGGGGGTTTACCGATAGCCTGTGGCTGGGCGGCCTGCAGGATCTCGAGATCGTGGGGCCGCCTGTGGAGATCTCGCCTTATGACGTCCCGGCGATACCCGGGCTGCCCGACCTGTTCAGGCTGTCGGTGGCAAGGGTGCGTGGCAGGACGCTGGAGCTTGAACACCTGAAAGAACACCTGACCAGCCTCCAGGTCAGAGCCGCGGCCTCGGCTGGGGCCCAGGGATGCCTGCGCGTCGGCGGGCTTTGCCCCACCCTGTCGCGTGCGCGCGAACGCGGGGCCGGTCAGAAGGGGCGCAAGCTGGCGGTGCCGGGCGCCGCCGCCGCACCCCGCACTTGGCTTGGACCTGTGTTTGGTGTGCTGCGACAGGGGCATGTAGAAGCGCATGCGGGCACTGATTGCACCGCCTGGCGCTCCAATCGCCTGGCCTTGCCGTCAGTCCCACCAGCACTTCTCCCAGAACCTCTCGGCAGCTGCCAGCCCTGATCCGCGACTCTGCCTTTAAATCAGCCCCCATAGCCGCCGCAGACCTGATGCACCCCCCACCCCCCACCAAATCCCCCTCAGGAGCTTTGCATCAGTGACGCCCCGGACTTGCGTGATGTCATTGGATTGTCGTCGCTCGCGGCGCTGACCTCCCTCCGCGTCCACGCCTGCCCCGACGCCACTCGCAACGCAGCCTTATTGCTGGCCACGGTGCTGGTCGCGCTGACTCAGCTGCGGGCCCTCGAGCTGACCGGCACCACGACCCTCGAGAAGCTGCCGGCGGCGATTCCTTTTCTCAAAGCGCTGACCAGCTTGGTGGTTGACGTGCGCATGCGCGACAGCGGCCCCGATGGGCCCGAGCCCAAGGACTTTGCGCCACTAGGCGACGGCACGGGGCTGCTGAGGTGCTTCGGCTTGCGGCGGCTGGTGGTGCGGGGGTTCAGCGGGCCGCTGCACATGCCGGAGGGGATGGAGCGGTTTTCGCTGCTGGAGGTGCGCGGCCGGGAGTGGGCCCTAACAAGGGAGCTGCCAGGGGTACCATCCTCCCTTGTATGCACGAGAATCTAGGGCGGCCCAGCTGTGACGCCGCTGCCTGCTTGCACTCTCCCCAAGTGGCTGCAGCCGCTGTTCCTGCTGCACGCGCCTGCCTTCACGCGCCCCTGTGCTGGTCTCCCCATCTAGCCACCCCTAACGGATGCCCATTCCTCCCCTAGCCCCCAAAACCTGAGCCCAAATAACCCCTCATCCGCTCAACGCTCCACAGGAGTTGGACCTTGGTGGCTGCCAGGACGTGTGGAACCTCGGCCCCTGGCTGCTGCGCCTGCCCGCCGTCAAGCGCCTCGTCGTGCCGCGCCGCTCTGTGCAGCAGGGCGTGTTTGAGGCGCTCGCCCTGAGGACCGACCCCCACCGAGAGGAAGTGGTGGAGGAGGGGGCCCGGGACGACGGCGAAGGGCAGGAGGGTGATGAGCGTCCCAGCTGGCGCAATTGCACGATATCTTGATGTTGTACCCTCATGCTTCCTGGTACTGCGCACGCACACAATGCCACATAACAGTTTGCTAGCGCAGCCGTGTCGTGGGTTGCTGTTGCACCACACCCGCCACGGCCGGCTCTTGCATGTGCTTCTTGCTGCTGTGTTGACTGCTCGCAATTCGAGGGGTAGCCCAACTCTCTTGCGCTTACTGCCAGCAACACAGGATGTACGTAGCGCATCACGCAGCTCAAACACCAGGGTCACCCGAATCACCAGGCATGCATCACACAGGAACCCATCCCAGCTCTGTTCCACCAGCAGTGAAGATGCAAGCTAAGGCATGTACCGGCACACTTGTAGCATGTAAAAGACGTATAGGAGATACCGTCGTCTGCAGGACGCGAGTAGACGCCGCCGCAGCGCGGCACAGCAGCAGGAGGCCGAGAGGCAGCCGCTGCAGCAGCAGCAGCCCCAGAACGAAGCAGCAGCAGCCCCAGCAGATCATCGTCGTTGCCGCGCCGCAGGCAAGTTGGAAGCAAGTAATAGACGTTGGGCATATGCAGATGTCGCAGCTACACTGCTAAGGTGCGGGCACCTGACAGGCACCTGCCCCACACGTGCGACCTGTGGACACCTGAAAGGTGGTGCACCTGACCTGTGACTGGCCAACACCCCCATCTGTGAATTTGTATTTTGGACACCCGTGACTTAGCTATGTCCCTAGACTTGGCAAAAATTTTCCCCTGGATTTTCCAGATTGGGGCAACGAGGACGCGGACGGGTGGGCAGAAGAGGGGCTGTAGGTGGCGCGATCGGTCAGGGCAGCGTCCTCTGACGCTGCCTGGCTTGGCACGTTCTTGTACATGATTATCGGCTGCCGCCACAAGAATTGTCGTTGCCACCCCTTGTGTAAACATGAATGATTCACATGCGTATACACACTCATCAGGCTTGCAAACTTGTCATAGTCACAGCGCCTGTGGACCAGAGGCTGCTGTCTGCATCGGAGCAGCGCATGCAACGTATTCATCCAACAGCAGCTAGTGGAAGATGGGGAGGGGAGGAGCCCTGGCCTGCATTCAGCAGGTCTAGGCCACCTGTCAGGCCCTCAACTGGAACATACTGCATGGCATCCCCCGCATCCTGGGTGGGGGTATGGGTGCTGCAAAAACGTGGCTGCTACTTTAGTCTGAGGAGCAGCAGACTGCACAGCTCCTGTGCGCTCCTGCTGTGCACCCAGACACTGCTGTGACCCAGCTGCTCCTCAGCTGCTCTGCACCGAATACGGGAACGACTGACATCACCGTTTACCGGTCGTTCAGGTCACATTACTTACCGTATTCACCTCCGTCCTACGCACTTTATCGCCTGCGAGATCTCAAGCCGGACAGCTGGGTTGTCGACGTGTTGCTCAGCTCAAACAAGCGTTCCGAACAGCGCGCCCAGCGTAAAGTTCCAGAGCATTTTAGCGTTGTATTCCGACCAGTGTCGTGCAGAGCAGAGCCTGTCGCTGCGCTTGGCGGCGCGTGCACTGCACTTGCAGACTTTGCCGCGGCGGGTAGCTGCCTCGGCTTGCTTGGACGCCATGGCGGAGCACACTGGGGCTGACACAGAGTCTCGGTGAGCGGACATCAAGGCAGAAGAGGCTACTGCAATGGGCGAAAACTGCCAACACGTCACGAGCAGGCCCCTAACCTCGGACGTTGGAAGATGGTGGCCAGTGCTTCACACGGCAGCCAGCAGCACGCACTGCCTTCCAGCTACGCCGCCCCTCCTGCCTCAGGTGCTGGACCGACCTCCCACTGCCCTGCTGGCGCCTGCTCATGACTCACCTCCACTCCCAGCGCTCCTTGTCCGGCTGCTGCGCCGCCTGCAAGAGCTTTTCGCTCGTCGCGGATGAGCTCGTCACAGATCTCACGGGGGTCCCCGCCGGCGATCTGACGCGCGCGCTGGCGCGGTTTGACCGCGCGACCAGTGTTGCCGCCGACCTCACCCCAGAGCAGCTATGCCCATTTTGTGAGAGGCAAGGCCGCAGCGGGCCGAATAAGAGAGGGGGCCCAGAGGTGCTTGCAGCCTGCCAGCGGTGGTGCGCGGGGGCCGCCGTTTTGGCCCGCGAGCTCCGTATTGTGGCGCCCCTGGCTGCGGCCCGCATCGAGCGGCTGGCGGTTTCCCACTGCCCTATGAAGGATGCCGACGCGCTCGCCTCCGCCCTCGAGCTCGCCGCGCCCGCCTGGCGGCGGCTGGCGCGCCTGGAGCTCGACTACACCGCCACCACTGCCTACCAGGGCACGGTTGAATGGCGCCCCATCCTTCGCGCCGCGGGCGCGCTGCCGGCCTTGCGCAGCCTCCGGCTTGCGGGCGCCATCCCTCTCTTACCAGATGGCGTGCCCGTCGGCCTCCGGGAGCCCAGCCTGCAGGATCTGGAAGTCGTGGGGTTGCCTGATTCGCCCTCGTTGTCGGGCCTCGCAGTGGGCCTGCCCGGGCTGGACAACCTGTCGAGGCTGTCGCTGGCGCGGGCGCCCGCACTGAGATATGCACATGTAGGACGCCTCACCAGCCTCAAGGTCGGAGCCGCAGCTGTGTCGGGAGGGGGGGCCGGGCCTGGGCTGCCTGCTGGTAGGCGGGCCCGCCTCAGCTTGTCGCATGCGGCGAGCGTGCACGGGCCCGGTCAGATGGGGAGCAAGCTGGCTGTGCCGGGCGGCGCGGCCGTGCTGGGCACCTGGCTTGGGCCTGAGATCGGTGCACTTTAACGCTGAGATGTGGAAACCCTTGCGCGCACAGATTGCACCGCCTTTCCCTCACTTAGCCCGCTTTGCTCGCGGATGGTCGCACAGCACCCTCGCCCCAAATCCCTAGGCAGCGGCCGGCGTGACAGATTAGCTCCCTGCTCACAAAAACCCCCGACCATGACTGGGGACCTGATGCACCTTTCACCTTTGCCCATCAAACCCCGACAGGAGCTTTGCATCAGCGACGCCCCAGAAGTCAGCTGCGTCTTTGGGCTGGACGCCCTCTCAGCGCTGACGTCCCTTAGTCTGCACGCCTGCCCTCATGCCGTCCGGGCCCCCTCCGAAATGTCCACCATGGAGCTGGCCGCCTCGGTGGCCGCGGCGCTGCCCTCGCTGACTCAGCTGCGGGCCCTCCACCTGACCGGCACCACGACCCTCGACAGGCTGCCGGCTGGGGTGTCTGCGCTCACCGCTCTGACGAGCTTGGTGGTCGACATGCGCATGCGCGACAGGGGCCCAGAGGGCCCCGACCCCGAGGATTTTGCACCGCTGGGGCGGGGCGGTGGCGGCGACGCGGGGCTGCTGCGGTGCTTTGGCCTGCGGCGGCTGGTGGTGCGGGGGTTCAACGGGCCGCTGCACCTGCCAGAGGGGATGGAGCGGTTTTCACTGCTGGAGGTGAGTGGCTGGGAGTGGTCTTGAGGAATAGAGCTGCCAGGGATTTAACGAGTCTACCCACACATGCGCTGAAGTCCAGGAGGGCCCGCCCCAGCTGACCACAGCACCTGGTCACTCTGCCCAGTTGGCTGCAGCCTATTGTTTCTCCGGCACGCGCACGCCTCCGCACGCCGCCGCGCTTGCCCCCTCCATCAAGGCGCACCTCACAGATGCGTGTTCCTCCCCTGAGCCTCAAAAAACTGTTCCCCACAAAACCGTTCACATACTCAACGCCCCACAGGAGCTGGACCTGAGCGGCTGCCAGGAAGTGTGGAACCTCGGCCCCTGGCTGCTGCGCCTGCCGGCCCTCAAGCGCCTCGTCGTGCCGCGCCGCTCTGTGCAGCAGGGTGTGTTTGAGGCGCTCGCCCTGAGGAACGACCCCCACCAAGTGGAGGTGGTGGAGGAGGGGGGCCAGGAGGACTGAGGGGGGCAGGAGGGTGATGGGGCTCTTGGCTGGGGCAATGAGGACGCGGAGGGGTGGGCAGAAGAGGGGCTGTAGGCGGCGGGATCAATTGGCGCAGCATCCGCTGAGGCTGCCTGGCTTGGCACCTTTTACTTGTACAGTATACCCATCAGCTGCCGCTCCAAGGGTCGGCGGTGCCACCCATTGAGCAAATATGCAGTAAACATGCGTGCACGTACTCAGCACCGTAGGCTGGCAAAACTGTCATGGTCACGGTGCCTGCGTACCTGATGCTGCTGTTTGCATCGGAGCAGCGCATGACAAATATACACGCAGGGAAGGGCTGATAGTAGTGTTTACCCGTCACTTAGGTCCCATTACTTGTCTTCTGCATCCTACGCACTCTATTGCCTGCGAGGTCTTCGCTCGACAGGGTTGTCGACGTGTCGCTCAGCTCAAACAAGCGCTCCGAACAGAGCGCACAGCGTGAAAGGCTCAGAGCACCATAAACGTTCCATCCTTACCATTGTCGTGTAGAGCAGAGCCTGTCGCCGCGCAGGGCGGTGCTTGCACTGCACTCGCAATTGCTGCGGCGGGTAAGCGCGTCGGCTTGGGCGCCATGGCGGAGCCCACTGGCGCCAACTTAGAGTCCCGGTGAGTGGACATTGAGCGAAAGGGGCTCCCGTAATGGGTGAGAGCTGCAAACACGTCGCGAGCCCCTACGTAACCTTGGACCTTGGAAGATGGTGCATGGCGCGTCTCAAAGCAGCCGGTGGCACGCACTGCCTTCCGCTACGCCCCTCCTGCCGCAGGTGCTGGACCGACCTCCCACTGCCCTGCTGGCGCCTGCTCATGACGCACCTCCACTCACAGCGCTCCCTGTCGAGCTGCGGCGCCGCCTGCAAGGGCTTCGCGCGCGTCGCGGATGAGCTCGCCACAGATCTCAGGGGGGTCAGAGCCGCAGATCTGACGCGCGCGCTCGCGCGGTTCGACCGGGCGACCAGCGTGGCCATCGACCTGGCTGGAGAGCTGGAGCCAGCGCATCAGGCGAGGGAAGGCTGCACCGCTTCGGATCAGGGAGGAGGCCCCGAGGTGGATGCCGACGACTTTGAGTGGTTACTGGCGGCCGGCATTTTGGTCTACGAGCTCCGCGCTGTGCCGCCCCTGGCTGCGGCCCGCATCGCGCGGCTGTCGGTGTCCCACTACCCTGCCCACATCGCTGACGACCTCACCTCGAGCCTCGAGTTTGCCGCGCCTGCCTGGCAGCGGCTGGCGCGCCTGGAGCTCGAGTTCATCTCAACTATCGACCGCGTCAGGGTTGAATGGCGCCCCATTGTTCGCGCCGCGGGCGCGCTGCCGGGCTTGCGCAGCCTGCAGCTTGCGGGAGCCATCTCTTACTTACCAGATCACATGTCCGACGGTCTCTCGCTGGGCGGCCTGCAGGATCTTGAGATTCTGTGGCCGCCTCCTTACTGCTGGGCGCCGGCGTACGGGCTCCACCTGCCCCAGCTGCCGGACCTGTCGAGGCTGTCGGTGTCGCGGTCGCCCAGTCTGAATGTGGTGTCTGTAAATCACCTCACCAGCCTCAGGGTGGGAGCCGCGGTCCTGGTGGGGACCCTGAGCTGCCTTGTTGTACGCAGATCCGCCTCAGCTCGGCAAGTGGCGCGAGCGGGGGTCATGTTGGGCGGGAAACAAAGTGGCCGTGCTGGGCGGCGCCGCCGCGACGGGCACCTGGCTTGGGCGTGATGCGGGTGTGCCTGGGCAGTTTGATGTCAGATTGCTTGCGCGAACGTTGTCGCACCTGCATATCTGCAATTACCTTGCCGTGTCCTTGTACCGCCCCCCCAAAACCCCCAAGCCTGCCTCTGCAGACCTACTAGTTAGTATTGCAACTACAACCTTCGCCCACACAACCCTCAAGGAGCTGTGCATCAGTGACGTCTCAGACTTGCATTACGTCATTGGATTGGCGGCGCTGTCGGCGCTGACCTCCCTCAGCCTCCACGCCTGCCCCGACGCCGTCGGCCACGCCGCCGCCTGGCCGCCTACAACGCTGGCAGCGCTGACTCAGCTGCGGGCCCTCGAGCTGACCGGGACCAAGACGCTCGAGAGGCTGCCGGAGGGGGTGTCTGCGCTCACCGCTCTGACGAGCTTGGTGGTGGACGTGCGCATGCGCGACAGGGGCCCAGAAGGCCCCGAGCCCCAGGACTTTGCGCCACTGGGCCGCGGCGGCGGTGGCGACGCGGGGCTGCTGCGGTGCTTTGGCCTGCGGCGGCTGGTGGTGCGGGGGTTCAACGGGCCACTGCACGTGCCAGAGGGGATGGAGCGGTTTTCGCTGCTGGAGGTGAGTGCCTGAAACGGGGCCTGAGCAAGGGAGTTGCCATGGGGTTGTCCTATCTTCCTTCCGTGAGAATCCGGGAGCGCACCCGCCGATCGTGACAATGACGCCTGCTCTCGCTCTCCCCAGGTGGCTGCAGCCGCTTTTCTGCCGTATGCGCCCGCCGCACGCCGCTGCGCTTGCCCTCTAAATTAAGGCGCACCAAACGGATGCCTGCCGCCCTGCCCCTTGCCTAAGCCCCAAGAACCTAAGCCCCAAATACACTTGATCCGCTCAACACCCCACAGGAGCTGGACTTTGGTGGCTGCCAGGAAGTGTGGAACCTCGGCCCCTGGCTGCTGCGCCTGCCGGCCCTCAAGCGCCTCGTCGTGCCGCGCCGCTCTGTGCAGCAGGGCGTGTTTGAGGCGCTCGCCCTGAGGAACGACCCCCACCATGTGGAGGTGGTGGAGGAGGGCGGCCAGGACGACTGAGAGGGGCAGGAGGGTGATGAACGTTTCGGCTGGATCAACGAGGACACGGACGGGTGGGCAGACGAGGCGATGTAAGCGGCGGGGGCGATCATCGTACTGATGATCAGCACAGCCCCCCCTGAGGCTGCTCCATCTTGGCACGTTTTATGTTGTACATACGGCACCCATCAGCGGCCGCTCCAAGAGTTGTCGGTGCCATCTTTTGAGCATGCATGATTGATACGCGTGCACATTCTTACTTGCAAACCTGGCATTGTTGCAGCGCCTGCTGACGCCCAGCTGCTGTTTTTGCAGTGGAGCGTGGCTTCCGCCAGCCACACAGTACATAAATTGCCTGCTGTCAAACACGCCTGGTTGTCTAGATGTGTACGGGATCTTGGCTGGTGGCTTCTGACTAAAAAGGAGGACCCGGCACCCAACTGGTGTGGGCCTGATACGTTGCGCTCATGGCCGCCTGGGCTGAGCGCAGACGCCTGCAAACCGCAGCCTGTACACTGCTGCTTCGAGTTCACACGGCTGCCGCACATCAGATTCGTCAGCACCATTTACTGGGCTTGCTGCACCAAATGGTAGAAGCAACAAGTTGAGGCAGGACTTCAATGAACTCACAGTTGTAACCCTGCGCTCCTGCCTTGCTAACGGCTCGACCTTTCAAAAAAGTCCCTGCGGCAGAATGCGTGTGTGTGGGACGCAGCAGTGGTGGAATTTTGGCCAGGTGCGCGGTCTGGTCTGCGCAAAGCACTGCATGTAGGCGTGCCCTTGCCGAGCAAAGGCCCCTGATTGCACCACAGTCTCAGCACCCTGGCAGCAGCTGCCAAGGCTTGGCTGCTTTGACAAAAGAGCCCTGGCCGAGTGTGCACCCAGATGCTGCGCACCATATGAGGGCCGCGGTGTCCCCAGGTCTGCCAAAGTCCCAGGCCAGGTGTCCACCACCTGCCACAGCGCACAATACCACGTTGCTTGGCCGTTGTCCCCTGTCCTGGTGGAGGCCTGTGGCTGTCCTCCCTGCAGCGAGGCTGGTACTTGTGTTTTGGTTGACTTTGCTGCTGCTGGTGCTGGTGCTGCTACTGATGCTGCTGATGTTGCTGGCACCTATGCTGGCTCCAATGCTGCTGTTGCTACTGTTGCTGCTATTGCTGCTGCTGCCGCTTTTCCTGTTGCTGTTGCTGCTCCTGCTGCTGCTATTGCTGCTTCTGCTTCTGCTGATATCACTGCTGCGGCTGCTGCTGCTGCTGCTGCTGCTGCTGCTGCTGCAGTATCCCTTGCAAGAAATACTCTTGCCACCTATGCTTCGCCAGGTGGCACGCGCAGTAGTGTTGGCGCAGCCAGCCGCATCGCTCAACCCTGGCTGAGGCGGCTGTGCGCTGCTGCTGGCCTGGGCACCAGCGCCACAGCCCATCCAGCCAGCCCAGTGCTCTGCAGTGTGTTCTGAAGAAGCAGCCGAGTGCACGGAGTTTGTGGGCGTACGAGATGGTAATGGCAGATACCAGTGTGCGGCCTGCCAAGAAGTGCTCAGAGCAACGCTGTGCATGCAGCAGCCCCCAGACTCTATGTGCAGTCGCACCTGCTCCCAGCATCAACGTGCCAGCAATTCTCTGCCCGGGCCCAAACGGCAGTGTGGCATCCGTCGTCCCCTGTAGGATCAGCAGCGGCAGGCCACCGGCAGCACCCCCTCCGTCGACCACGCCGCCGCCACCACCCCTGCCGGTGCCACACTCGCGCCTGGCAAACTCCGCGCCCAGTGCCGGCGCGAGCAGCGCCACCGCGCGCAGCGCTTGCGCGGCACGCGGCCGGCGGCACAAGAATTCCTGGGCCAGCATGGCGCCGTTTGAGTAACCGGACAAGAAGATGCGGCGGCCGTCCACGCCCAGCGCGTGCGGGAGAGTGCTGATGAGATGCTCCAGGTATGAGACGTCGTCAGCAGTTGGCGGGAAGCAGGCCGGCAGGATTGAGGTGGGGCTCCAGAAGCTGACGCGCCACGCCTGTTGCACGGGTTTGGCAGGGTTTCAGGGTCCTTGAGAGCTGTAATTGTCTGGTGCACGTGTGTGTTCATGGTGTGCTGATGTAGCTAACGGTTGATGTAGCAAATGATAGAAGCAAGAGGAACGGCGTGAGCAGGGGTGTCCATGCAGGGAGCTATCGCTGGCGCGCCGACACCGTCAAACATCACCCTTTCATGCATTGGCAGCCGCCGCCTTAGAGGATCCTCGCGCAAGCAGACAAAAGGCCCCGGCCTGCGCGCGCCTGGCAGTCGTCGCCGCCGCTGGCCTGGGGCAGCACCACGATAGCCCTGCGCCTGGCCGCCACGTCAGCGGCGCCCATCCTGGCCGCGTCCACCTCGGCGCCCCGCACGGCGTGGTCGAGGCGCACGCCTGGCGCAGCGCGGCGTGTGCGGTGCGCAAGGAGGAGGGGGCAGAAACGCCCGATTCCTTATGAGTAGCAAGTCTGCAAAAATTTGAAGCCAAGCTTCTAATGTGACATCGCCCTCGCTTGGCGCCTTGAATCTCACATGCTGAGCTCTGGTGACGCTGGTGAAGTTTTGTCCCAGGTGGAATTTGCGATGGGCGGCCCCGGCAAGCAAACGGCGGCAGCAGCGCACCTTCGTAGCCATTCGGGTACCACAGGTTTGAGTGCAGCCCGTGGATGTGGATCCAGAGTGGGGGCGGCGGGGCTGCCTTGGAGGCATAGTCTGGTGGCAGGAACACATCATAGCTGCGGTTCATGCCTGATGGTATTTAGCAGGAGCGAGGGTGCCGTAGCAGGATTTCATAAATGAGGTTAGTGGAGGGGGAAGGGAGGGAAGGGCGGCGGGGAGGGTGATAATGAGGATGAGGGGTGTGCCCGTCATAGGTGAGGCATCCTCAGGGAAGGTTTCAAACCACCGCGGCTGCTGCTGCACCGCTCTGCATGCACTACGAGGCACCTTGGAACAGCATGGTGATGCGGCATGTTGGCAGGAGCGCGCTTGGTGGCAGGGTCCACGCGCCGCTGAGCTGTGCGCAAGTGCAGGGCAGGTCGCCGGCCGAGCAGCTGGCGTGCACGCTGTTTAAACTGGTACCCAAGGAAAGAGAGCCCAGCACCAGAAGGGCTATCAAAGAGAGAGAACAACGCATGATGATAATTTATAGTCAACGGGTTGGTTCAGATCGCGTCCTTGCTGATCTCATCGAAAATTTACCGTAATCTGGATGGCTCTGATTGATGCTATGGTTGGTGCTCTGATTGGTACAATGGCGATTTATTGAATGCTGCGGTTGCTGACGCCTGCACGTGGACGAGGGGTTGCAACCTCCACGGGTCGGCAGTGGACAGTGCGGCCAGTGAGTGCGGCACAGTCAAATACTCGGCGCCGCGCTGCCCAAGCGCAAAATCCACCTGCGATCCGCTAGTGCTGACTGTTTTAATCCGACCCCAGTCAGCCCTGGCCACTGCCTTTTTGGCCCGGCGGCCGAGCATGCAAGCCGTTGTCAAGGAATTCGCATCCCTTGTGATGCTCAAACACATGCCACAACATTGTGATTTGGTCCCACTCGCCCCACCCGAGCTTAGGCGGGGCCGACTGACCCCAAACTAGAGGTTGTTATTTACAATAATAGCCGCCGCAGCAGCCTCCCAGCGGCCTTCGCGGCCGCCTCGCCCGCGGCCGCGACTGCCGCCCCCGCCGTCGCGCCCGTCCCGTCGTGAGTCATCAGTGACGTCAGGTCGTGCCGCGCCGCGTGGCCGTGGTCGGCCAGCGCCGCGTGCTGGTGGTCCATCAGCTGCGACGACGTCCGGTGAGTCACGTGAGTAAGGCTCGCGAAGACCAGCGTGTGCATGACTACGAGGTAGCAGAAGGCGACCAGGCGCGCGGCCGCGGAGCGGTACACCAGCTGGCCGACGCCGTACATCGCCTTGTCAGCGACGCCCATCTGGCGCCGCTTCTGCTCGTGCTGCTGGCCCTGCGGCAGATATGAATATAAAGAAACCACCAAGGGGCACGCGGGTGGGCGGGGGGTCGAGCGGCCGAAGAATGTGGACACTCGCCAGGCGCTCAGCGCTGCAGGTTCTCTGCGTCATTGTTTGGCAGGCCCGCCAGAGCGCTTTGCCGCAAAGGATCACACACGCAGTTCCGGGCGTTTGTATTTGAATCCCAGCTGGCGCGTGATATTATGCACAAGAGTAAGCTCGGACAGTCATACACCCTAAAATCTGAACCCCGCATGTCAGTCTTCTGACCTGGAACTCCTGGAAGGGGTTTATCCGGTCCTCGTACAGCTGGGCGTACCGCCCCACCACGTCCCCAGCCGCGCCGCCGCCTGCCTCCACGTCTGCGCCCGCCGGCCTGCCCCCGGCCGCGTCCTGCGGTCAAGGCGGGAGGGGCATGCGGGCGGCTGCGTTTCGCCCACACGCAAGCACCGCCCCAGCCACCCCAGGTGGCCCCCCGGCTGGCACTCCGTCGCATCCCCTGCTGGCGTTCAAGACAGCTGTGCGGTGCGCATCCCACATGAGGCCTGAACGTCGCACGTGCAAGCGCGCCCCACACGCCCCGTGCGCACCTTGCGCGCCGCAGCCTGCTGCCTATAGCCCCCCACGTATCGCAGCCGCTCCACCAGAGCCACGTTGTCCGCCCGCGCCGCCTCCAGCTGCCGCCGCGCGGCCTCCGCGGCGCCGCGCGCCGCGCTCAGCTGCTCCTCCAGCTCCTTCACGCGCGCACGCAGCCGCTCCCGCTGGCCGACCAGCACCCTCACCACCGACTCCTCGTCCGCCCCGCTGCCGACGCCCGAGAACGACGCGCCGCCGCCGCCGCGGGGCGTGGGAGCATCGAGGCTGCCCGCGCCGTCTAGGGACAGCAGGGCCGCGCGCTGCGCGCCGGCGGCGGCTTTGGCGGCGCCGCGGGTTTCAAGGAGGTCCTCCTCCAGCTGCTTCACCAGTGCCTCCTTATCTTCCAGCTTGCCCTCCAGCTCCGACACCTGATTTCCGGCACAGCAGCAGGGGTTTGGAACTTCGTTGAGTTCTGCAAACAGCACCTAGGCGGTGCTTGGCAGGCGGGCGGCGGATGCCAGGGGAAGCTGCCGCGCCGGCGGCGCCCTCGGAAAGCGTCGCCGCTGGCCGCGGCGGGGCGCAAGGCGTCGGCGCACCTGTCCTTGCGCGGCGTCCAGGCGCTGCTCTGTCTCAGCCGCCGCCAGGCGGGCCATGGTGAGCTCGTGCTCCAGCCGCCTGCGCACACGACAGACATGAGATGATTTTAGAATCAGTATCTGATCCATCGTAGGCACACGCATACACGCACAATCACACATGCATGCACACACCCCTCCCCTCCCTCCACACAAATGCCCGCACATGAAACACCTACACAAACACACACATGGACAACACAAACACACACATGGACAACACAAACACACAAACGCACACGCAAACACACACACCACACACACACACACCTGTTCTTGGCCAGCAGCATACCCTCCAGCGACCCCGCCCCGCCCCCACCGCTGCCGGCCCCGCCGCTGCTGCTCGGCCGGCCGCTGCCGCCGCTGCCGCCGCCGCCGCCGGTGTCCGTGCCTTGGTGCGGGCCGGGGGGCTCTTCCAGCGATCCGTAGCCCACGGCCTGCAGGATGCGGACCTGCTGCTTCAGGTCTTCAAGCTGAGTGCGTGAGAGTGTGTGTGAGTGCGTGTGTGTGAGTATGTGTGTGTGTGTGTGGGTGTGTGATTGGTTTGGGTATGTGTGTGCCGGCCTTCTCGGTGTGTGTGCATGTACGTGTGTGTGTGTGTGCATGTATATGTGTGTGTGTGTGTGTTGGTATGTGTCTGTTATGGAGCTGGGGTGGCAAATCGTATGGCGACCGCACAGGTGCACGAGCATTCAAAGGTGATGCAGCGCGGCGGCGCGACCACCCAGGAAGCCCCAGCGCGGCGGCGCTCCCTGACGAGCGGCGCTGCTCATGAGGCGCCCCTCCCAGCGCAGCCCCTCCCAGCGGCACTCCGGCCGCACCCACGCACCCAGCCCCGTCCCCACCTGAAGCCCCCGCAACCGCACCCATCCCCCGCACCCAGCCCGCTCCCCCGCCCCCGCCCCCGCC